AACTCAATTTAAAAAGCCAGTTCCCTGGTCACACCAGCCACACTGCAGGCGCTCAACAGCCACATGTGGCTTGTGGCTGCTCTACTGGACGGTGCAGATAAAGATCATTCCCATCCCTGCAAAGGCTTCTATTGGACAGTGCTGGCCTGGACCCAGTGTTCTCTTAACATTACAGATTTTAGCACATCATCCTCTTGTTTAAGACCCACAATGACCTCCACATTCTTAGAAAAGACCAAACGCTTCCATGAGCCACAGTCCCCGTGTGATCTGGCCCTTCACCACCTTGTCTGCTTCGCTCCGCACTGCTCTCCATCTTGCTTTCTGGGCTACAGCGGCCGTCTTTCAGTTCCTCTGCTGGCCACACCCACTAGGCCACCGTGCCTTTGCACATGCTGCCCATCGAACTCCAACTCATCCTGCAGAGTCCAGCTCAAGGATCCCATCCGCAGGAATGCCTTCCAGGCTCCATCAGGCTCCGTGTTACGTTTTCCTAGAACATCCCTTCAGGGCACTCACCTCACCCTCTGTAGTGTGATCACTTAATCTCGTCTCCCCAACTGGACTGTAGCTCCCTGAGACCAAGGGCCACAGCTGTTTGGTCCATCTCTGTATCCCTAACACTTAGCACGGTGCTTGGGGTCAAAACAACAATAAATGTTTATTACATCAACACTCTTTACGGATGTTTGAAAACTACTTGCGCAATGGGTTTCGTCTTTCGGCGCTAGGTCGTGTTTGCAGTATCATACATGATCATCAAACTGCTGCTAGAATGTTCACACCTGTTACTGCAAATTCAAAACCCAGGAGCAACATCTCCTGGGAATTTACTTTAGGTCAGGGTAGGGCTGCCTGGTACAGGGCTGCACCCCCAACTGGGCAGGTTCAACAACACAGGAGCCTTTCCCCAGACCATCCGCCTTAGGACACTTAACCTTCATGCTTGGAGATGTGGACATACCTGGATCCGCCCAAGTTGAGGTCACTCGGTAAGTTCTCATCCACGAGGAGCAGGAGGAAACAATCGCTGCATGCCTTCCCTCAGTCGCCCGCGGCTGGCGCGTTCTCATTTTCCGAGCACACCCTGGGGGCAGAGAGAAACACCACGTGCTCTAGAAGGCCAGTCTCCTTCCGTATTGACACACTCCCAGAAACCCGCGCTGGCTGACCAGCCGGGGACCCCAGGCTTTTCCGCGGGCTGCAGCGCCCCCTACAACCGCTCACCTCAACTTTGGTGCCTGCGTGGGACCAAGCTCCCTCGGCCTCCTCCGTCCAAGCCCCAGCTGCTATGCGGGGAGCGGTCCCTGAAGTCCCGGGCCCCGGGGAGGGGCCTCCCGTCCTCGGCGGAGCTTCGTTCCCATCCCGGGGCGGGGCCCGAAGCCGCAGGCTGGCGCTGATGGCAGCAAAGGGCCCGCGTAGCGCTCTGGGCCGGGGGCCGGCGACCAGCCGGAGCCCAGGGGGCACCTACCCTCGGACACGAGAGGTGGCATCTCCACGGACGTCTAACCCCCAGGCCGAAACCGAAGAGCACACGCACTTCCGCCCGGAAGTGACGGCTTCCCATCGAGGTGATAGCTAGAGGGTCGCCCTAGTCTTTGAAACTTGGTCCTCCAAGGCCGTCTTAAAGGGGCCGCAGCCGGCGAGATGTTGATGAGACATACTAAAAAAACCCTATTAGTTGTGGGTCTGAAATTCAAACTAAANTTAGATCGTCAAATTTTGTTCTTTACAGTAGGTACTAAGTACTTACGGATTATTTTGTTCCTTTAGAATATGTAGAACACTATATACTTCCAATGTCAGGCGTAAAAAAATAAATGCTACAGAAAGTAAATAGAAAATACAACTTTGAACAGTTAGCTTCCGCTAATTCTCTTTCAGACGGAGGAGTTAAAAAATCTTATGAAACATCCTTTACTTATGTTCATCAGAACTTCCTTCTTGGGATGACCATAGTTTGAACAGAACAGAGATGAAAAATCATTTGGAATATGAAATGACGTGGATATACAATAATATTATGAAACTGGGGCCCCATCGCTCTGGATCTCTGTTTCGTTTCATTTACCTGTGTATGCGTGAGTGCACGTGGGAGTGTGTGAGGCAGAGGGGACTAAAAACAGTGACATAAATGTCAACCTCAAATTGTCACATTCAGAGAGCGGGGAATGAAACTGGTCAGTACAGGCCCTTTGTCAAAGGGACTTGCCAGTGTTGCAGACAGAGCTGCATGCTCCAAAGTAAAGCTTGAAAACCAACTCCGTCGCTCACACGTGTAAAACCCTTAGAAACACTGTAAAATAAGCCTGTGTGTGGTTAGCAAGGGAGTCAAAACAGCACCTTTAAGTCGCTGAGAATCATCCAAGGCCCTCAGTACATGAGAAGGCCAGGATTAACCCTCGTCCACTGGGGGCGTTGCGGGGAGGGTCTTCCCATCTGGTTTGCAAAGCTGTTTCTCTTCTCTCCCTCTTTCTCTCTCCTTGTCTTCATTACTGGGCATAACCGAACGGAATCACATATTTTGTATTTAAAATACTTTAACAAACCCCAGCACTTACTAGCTGTGTGGGACCCTGGCCGTGACTGTCCTTATACCTTGGCCTCTATCTATAAAGGGGGAAAAACAACCATCTCAGCCTCAGAAACCTGTTCTAAGTAAATAAGATGCAAGCCAAGCGCCAGGCTGCATCCACATGGGCTAAGAGGGCCGTAGCGGGACAGCGACTTTTCTCGCACCTCTTGTTCCTCTCCTGTGGGTCCACAGTGCGGGTGGGTGAATAGTGAGGCACCTGAAGTCATGAAAACTCCATACAGAGCAGCTGTTTTTCTCCAATACACAAGCGATTGATTCCTTGATGGTGAATTACATGCCTGGGGGATAAACAAACTCTTTAGGTGACGCACAAACCGCTGCTCTTGTGCACACAGTGGAGCGGGGGCTGGACTGGGACTCAGTATGCACAGGGGAAGTCAGCTGGTGGCCAGGTGAGGACAGTGGGGGGAAGCTCAGGCTGGGGGGGCCCCCGGGGCGGAGCCTGCTTCTCTCCTGACTCCAGAGGGGATCTGACTCATTTCAATTTCCCCTTCCTTAGGAGGAGGGGAGCAGAGGGTGACTTCCTTGATTCCCAGCAAAATCAGATTTAAAAAAAGGCAGGTGAAAAGTTCCAGAATGGGGTGTATATATATTTTTTCCCCTGAACTCGCCTTATCTGCCTAAAAGCAGAACCTCCCCAGAGAATTCCACTGTCCTAAGTCCCCTCTGGAGGCTGGGACCACAAGCTGGGAAGACCCACTCCTGGCACTGGAGAAATCCACACTGGTCAGGACACAGGCAGTCACAAAACTAAGCCTGCACCTTGAGAAGTGTACAAAGCAACCGACAGGACCCTCCCTCCCTCGTTAGAGCGTGGTCCCCAGACCAGCAGCACCGGGCCAGCTGGGAGCTGGCGAGAAATGCAGAGTCCCAGGCCCCACCCCAGACCTGCTGCTCCAGAACCTGCATTTGACAGACCCAGGGGATTTCATGTGCACATTGTCTGGGGAGCACAGAGCTAGGCAACACTTTCATTTATGTTCTTAGAACCAAAAGCAACAGGATGGGCTTTCTTGACCGAGTCAGGTATTTAATCAACACAGATACGACGCCTAGGTAAAAAAGAGGGACTATAAAATAAAATCTGGTCTAAGCCAGACTTGGAACAGAGCCTTTTGCCTGATATAATTCCTAACCTCTTCTGGGGTGAGACTGGCATCCCTGATATAATTCATAAGTTTTCTGGGGAACCAGTGACCTACCCGCCCACCCACCCAGCTGTCAGGACCTTTAGCCAGCGGTTCTTTTTTCCATGTAACCTAACAACAATAATCCAACCTTTATATTTGCCTATAAAATACCTCTACCTAAAAATGAGCGTCTCAATTGGCCTACCGGGGCCTCTCCCATTGCATACAAGATCGGAACAGAACCTTACCACATAACTATATTGTCTGAAACGTCTTCTTTCACTCATCTAAGAAAAAATTAGAATGGATAGATGAATCAGTGTGGCTGACCTTATGTCAAGTTATGCCGAGGCTACCAGGACATGTGGGAAGAATTAACAAGCGGTTCAAAGAAAGCTCAGCCAAGAAAGCAGCAAGACAACTCAGGGGAGAACACAAAGGAAATGCAAAGACTATCTGTCCACGAGGAGGTGGGTAATTTGGGTGTATGCATAACATAGAGACTGAATGCCGACTTGGACAGAGGTGGCAGGGGGTGGCTGTCCTGGGAGGATGGGAACGGGGAGCAGAGGGGAGGTGAGAGCTCAGCCTGAACCCACCTGCAAAGTTTCAGAGGGTGAGTCAAAAGAACAGCACACACCTGCTCTTCGGAAACAGGGAGGTGAGTGAACATGGAAGAGCTAAGCAAACCGACTGCCTGTGGGGAGGGGAGGG